GAAGTGTTTTGAGATTATACAACCTAGTTCCAGGTAGCTATTGAATTTTCATAATTGTAACATTGTTCATCATTATAAAAAAATACAAAATAAGCACTTGATTGATAATTTTTCTAATAGTAATTTTAAGAAAATCATTTACAACTATCGCCAGAAGTATCCATTCTCTTTTCAAGAATTACACCCGAAAAATAAGAAAACATAGAGATTCAACAATAACTACTACTGTTATTTGATTCTAACATTACCAAGAAATAAATAAACTGGAAGGCAATTTAGAAAAAAAGTTGTAATGGATTTTATTGCATAACAAAACTCTTATCTTCCCACGTTGACTAGGATCCTCTAGCTTTTACACAAAAACATGAGACTCAAACCTCATAACAGAAACCCAAGAACTTCAACAGCGGCTAGACCATTAATTATGGAACACACTTTACTCAATAATCTAAAAAAAAAAAAAAAAAACCTTTTCTTTCAACTCATGCCCGACTCTTTTGGCTGGTGAAGAGTTTCCAGGCACTCTTTGGCTCTATGAACCTTTGACTGGAGATAAAAACGTCCATCTTTTGATTCCGTTCAAACAAGTTATCATACCTTTGCAGGAAAAAAAAATAAAAAAAAAAAATAAAAAACATGACAAAGTTCAAGATAGTGAAATTGTACATATACAAGTTAAAACAGAAAAATCACTACATATTTGTTACATGACCAAAGTATAATCATGCTTTCACAAACAAATATCGGAAGACAAGTAAATAGATCAATTGAAAAAACTTCAAGATCTCTTCCCATGTTGAATTCTCAGAGACGCCAAGGATTTGCCTAGCTTCTGCATCGGTCATCATTTTACTACTTCTCTTGATGTGTTGTGCTGCTTCTTGAGTAACACCGTTTTTTGAGGCATCTGTAATTTAATTGTGTAATTAGCAGGCAATAAAGCGAAAACACCAACGGATTCTGAAAGCGATGCTTAAAATTTGACACACAGGTACTTTGGTAAATAAAATTTATGAAACGAAAAGATATTTGTCAAGCTATAATGTATTTCCCCTTGACACGAATTTATATTCCCATGGTCGCCTTTTACTTCTCTCGTCTTTGTAATGCTCCGTTCTTTTTAAATTAATTCATAAGCATTTGCATCGCTCGACTAAGCTTACATCTCGGTTCTTCCTTTGTGCTCTTGTTTTATTTATTTGTCCTGAGTGCTAAGTGTGTTATGTCAATTATATGCTTAATTGTATTTTGTGTGCTTAAGTGTTTTAATTGCTAAGTGTCCAATTTGTTTTACCAAATGTTTAAATTTCTTTTATGTGATTGGGTGTACTTCGTGTCTAATTATAATTTAATTTTTATTTTTTTATGTGCCTAAGTGATCATTTGATTATTGTTCGCAAAATATTTTCACTACCCGTAAGTGTACGGTATAGCTATAGTGAGTGGCGAGCAAGGTCATATTCCACAGAGATTGTTGTTAAAATAATCAAGTACCAAAATATTGACGAATAAACATTATTCAGATTAACTCAAATTCGAATGGTGATTTTATTTTAAACTAATGAATGATGGCAAAATAAATTCTAACACTAATGAAGGCTTGTTCTAAGATAAATCAAGAATGAGAAAATAGATTCTAGGCTATGCTTTCCTCGGGATTATTCTAGCAAAGATTTCTTATTCATTCAAACCTTATTTAGTTCTACCATTCGTAGGGATAATCGCTAAATTAATTTACACCTTTCTCTCAAACAAGTTAAATCGTAGATATTAATTGTTATCTATCTCCTCTCGGTCTCAACATGAACAACTAACTCCCATAAGCTCCTAAGATTCTAGTTCCCTCGCAAGATTCTATCAAACTCTCGGTCTATTTAGTCTCTTACGTTATGAATTTCCCAATTTAAGCAATCAACTATCTCCTCTCAGTCTCAAGTCAATCACAAATATGCATAAATACGGGCCCTATATTCACACAATTCATATAAGCACAAGAAATTGATAAACGAATGATAAACCGGAATGAATAAATAAAATTACTTCATAAAATAATCCGAGTACTCGCAAATCCTAGAATCCATAAAGGTTTAGCTACTAAACATATTCTCAAAACTCAAAATAAATAAATCCATGAGTTCAATGAAGAAGAAAAAGAGAAAAGAAAAAAGAACTATTGTCGCCGTTAGTTCTCGAATCTTCAATCTTGACTTCCTCGAATCCCTCGTGTGTTTCGTGCTTTCTCTAGGCCTCCATTGGTGTCAAAATTCCAAAAAACGAGTTCCTAAGGTCTGGTTTATACTGTAGGGCACTTCTGGGTCGAAAAAGGGAAGAAATCGCACAAGAATTGTATTCCCCGCTGAACTGGTCTGCGCGTCACACGAGTCGTGTCACATGCCACACGAGTCGTGTGACTTTTCTCCAATTTTCGCCATACTTCCCGACTCACACGAGCACCCACACGACCGGGTCACACAATTCGTGTGAGGCCACACGACCCGTGTCACAAGACACACGGCCCGTGTGAAAAAGCCATAGTCGCAACTCTTATATTTTCAACCCACACGGCCCGTGTCACAACCCACACGAGTCGTGTGGCCTCGTCTGCACCCCGTTTTCGCCGTTTTTCGTCCCAATTTCATTTTCAACGCTTTTCCGGACATATTTCCTACAAAATTAACGACAAAAACACCTCTATCATAGATTAATAAATAAAACAAAATGGTGCACAATCACACGATAACCATAGCCAAATATCACAATATATCACTCATAATGCATGAAAAATATGATGAATGTCAATTATGTGCATATGTGATTCTTTGATTATGTGCCCTAAGTGTTTATTTATTTTATTTGTCTGAGTGTTTTATTTAAATTTATATGCTAAGTGGCCAAATTATTTTCTAAGTGCCTTATATGCATTTATATGACTTAGTGTTGACTTATTTTCCTATGTGTTCATTTTTTTCTAAATGTGCTTGAGTGTATAATATGGTTTATGTGTTCGATTTTATTTTTGTTCCTATTTTGCCTAAGTGTATTTTATGCTTATTAGTACCCTTTCTTCATGGGGATCCGGGGTGTTTTAATAATAGATGAAATGGTTTTGTGCATAAGTTGTTTCCAAGTAGATAACTTTTTTTTTTGGGGAAAAATTTCACCTATGCTACACGTTTTTTAAATATTTGCACTTTTACCACTCCTACCAATTAAATTGTGTTTATACCTAAAAAATAAAAAGTAATTAAAGTGATGCCTAATATCAGTTACACGATATGGAACAAACTTTTCATGTTTCTAGCCCATAATTTTAGCTCTCAAGATGGAAGGATATCATATTTGAATTTCAATTCATAAGATTGACAGATACGGATGGGACAAAAGAAAGAAACACACGCCGGCGAGAAGAATTTCCGACGGTCTTCATTCAGATAAAAAAAAAACATATCTGGGGGTTTTGTCAATCGATCGTCTTCGCTCTTCATTAACAGGAAAAAAAAAAAAGGTCTAGTGTAGATCAGAATCTGTGGCGAGCTCTCATCACTCCGAACAACATCTCAAGAACCGAAACATAAAGGCCAAATATTGGGAGGTATATTTTGTGTTATTAACCTTTATTAAGACTTGGTATATTTTGATTATTTCGTACTGATGTCTTCTCGTTTTTTTTGTTTTTTGTTTTTTTTTTTTTTTTCACCAGATGGATCCGAATATGATGATCTTCATACATCATGGGGGTGAATGGGTGATGAATGATTACGTGAATTACCAACTATCTGGTGTTTTGATTCGAAAAGAAGGCAGCTTCAACGAATTATGGGGTATATTGTATGAGGAGCTCGGGTTGATACGTCAATCATCTGTGCTTGATCTAAAATATAAGCTAAAGGAAGGTAGTCCACTAATGTCGATAAACAGCGATAGCAGCCTTAGCTTCTATGTGTTTTTGGTGTCCAAATAAGCTGACTACACGAAATATCTGGTGTGCGTTGTGGTGAAATCTCGGAGTAGTGTTGAAAATTCGTTTGATGAAGAAGTGAATATAGGTTCATCTAACGGCGAATCAAACATTGCTTCATTGTGTTATCCGGAGCTTGACAGGCAACCTAATAAATCAGATGGAACGATAAATTTCATGTCGTTCGCGAGGAACGTGGCTGAAGAGATGGTAGAAGTGGCAGCATATACCGAAAATATATTGAAAATATACCATGGTTCTGAAATGCGGTTGACAGGCGAGGAAAATTTTGACTCTGGTATTGTTGTTGGTCTTTTAGTAAAGGATAAGGAAACGTTACAAACGATGTTGACCATGCATGCTATAAAGCATCAGTATCAATTCAAGGTAGACAAGTCATGCTCCAAACAATATTATGTCAGGTGTGTCGATTGATTAGTATCCTGGTATATCTAACATATATTCTGCCGTGGAATTGGGGATTGGGGATTGGGGATTTTGGATTTAGGGTCCCGCCGCATGTGTTTTGGAGTTTTACGGCCGTGGTCGGACTGGAAATCATCTGAATCGGGGGATGGAACTTGCTTCTTCATCCTTGCGTTGCCGGTGGGCTTGCGATTAGGGTTAGGGTTCGTTTTTTTCTCAAAAACTAGCTTCTTCTGAATGAGTTTGGGCTTTGATTTTGAAATGATCTTCCGAAGCCGGGAACTTGACCTTATCTGTGGTGTTTTTTCCCCTTCTTTCGCCGTTTTTTTCCGAGGATCGCGTGCGATTTTGGTTTTCGCCATTGACGGAAGAAGTTTTTTTCCCTTCTGAATGAGATTTCGTTTTTCCGAGGATCGCGTGAGAGGAACGTGTGTAGTGGTTTTTCTTTTGAGGATTTAATTTGCCCGTAACCTACGCTCAATCTCCTTAGTTATCTGATATAACTGCAAAATTATCACTTTAGATATATTAATAATTTTTTATGCTTATTTTTGTAATTATATAAATATTAAATTAAGAGACGTAAATTTATAATATATTGAGGAAGGGGAAGTANCCCGTTCAGCTCATATCTCTCTCTCCTCTCGAATCCGTCGTCTCCTCTCTCAGCCGCAAGACGAGTAGCCCTAGCTTAACTTCCTCCATGATTTCCGGCCACCCCTCCAACAGCCCTAGTCTCTCCCATTTTTAACCACCAGAATTTCAGCCACCACTCTCAATTCTCCCTCAGAAGAAGTTCACAGAGAAAATTCCAAATTAATTCCAGTACCAGATCATCGGCGAACTAGACCCGATCTCCACTGCGACTGAAATAGACCGAACACGCAGCGGCCGAGAGAGAACACGGCCGAGATCAGGCCTCCAACGGGCCAAGCAGCAGCCAAACTCGAGCCTTATCCGCGGCCAACAGCGACGCAAAGCCGGGACCAAGCAGCAAATTACGGCGGGAGTACTTGACCGAAGAGCTTCAGTTTTTCCGACGGCTGAGGGCGGGCATCGAGCAACCGAGGCTGAGAGCGAGTAAGCTGCGCCGGAGAGCCACGAGTTTGCCGACGAGTCAGACCGAGTTCCATGCGACCGTGAGCAGTAGATTTCCGGCGAAGAGGCCAGAACTGCTCCGACGGAGCTGCGACCTTAGCGAGCCACCACAAAGACCGAAGCTCTAGATTTCCAACGAGCACCTTCTAGTCGCGGCTGAAATCAGATTTCCAGCGTTCCAGGCCGAGCCGACAAGCGTTGTCCAGCGGCTGAGGGCTGGCCTTACTTTGACCGAGATAAGAGTCTGTTAGCGAGTCGAACTTTGCCGGATTCTGAGAGTCGAGAGCCGAGAGCCTCAGCCGAGGCCCTTTTCAGACCCGAGACCCAAGCTTGTCGTCCTTACCTTTCCCGAAGAGAGGTATTTTCAGCCAACCGAGTTCTCCCCCCTATTATGTCCGTGTTGCAGTTGCTTATGTTGAGCCACGAATATGTTATGACATGATGCTTATTGTGTTGTTAAGTTTGAGAAAAGAATGAATGAAAAGCTGAGTTCTCTGCCTTGTTTGGTTATGCTGAGCTGAACCTCTGTCCATGTATGCTATGCTAATTTTTTTGAGTGTTTAAGGTGCTTAAGTTTCAGCCCAAGTGACTTGATTGGCTTGCCTTAAAAAAATAAATATAGAAGAGGAAAGAGATATGTTANAGTTAAGCACTGTTATCATGCTCTGTTGTGTGTGTGCGTGTTGGTGTGGATAATTGTTGCAATTCTAGTTTATGGTGTTTTGCTGTTAAATACTTAATTGATTGTTTGATTTTGTAGAGTTTTGTATAAATAAGATGTTGCAGGCTATGTCAAACCTTGGGATTTTAGTGTGCTCATGCGTATTTGGTTATGTGAATTACGTAGTATGATCATTCATTTTGCTGTGGAAATGGTGAATCATAATGATTTCATGAACAGCATATTTTGGATATTTACTACATAGTGGTAAATAACTTAATAATATGGTGAATCTTTTGATGTGGTGATACATGTTGGCCTTGTTTCAAATATGTTTTGTACATGCTGCTGAGCCTCTGTTCTTGGTGTAAATATGTTGAAGATCATGAGTTTTGATGAGTGAAAGTTCACTCAAGTTTCAGTTTAATAGCATACTTAAAGGTTGTTAAATTCAAAGAAAAAAAGAAGCTCGATGCGTGTTGTTGTTCCTTAAATTGTTGTGTATGTTGTGATCTCTTTTGTCGATTGTGTTCTACATGTCTATGTGCCGTTTTGTGTGTTTAATATGTCATTTTGGTGGTTTCATGTTCAGAGTTAAAGTTAGTAAGTTTGCCCTCTGAGTTAAATTAGAAGTGAAAAATTAAAGAGAAAGAAAAGAAAGGATTCTTTGGCTTTAGTTTAAGTGCCTTTTTAGCGAACCCGAGCTCTGTATCCGGGTCAACCGAAGCGGTTCGACAAGCGAACCGGGTCTGACCGGGCATGGACCAGCCGATTTGAGCCAGTCTAGAAATTCAGTTTAGTTTCCCGAGCCTAAAGTAGGTTTCCGAGAACTTTAGACCAGAATTTATCTCTTTTAATTTGCCTGCTTTGTGTGATTTATTTGCTTTTGTGTTCCTGATTTGTCCTTGCTTGCTTTATTTTATGAGTAACATCAGTTGAGTTAGCAGTTGGGACCATAAGCACTTAAGTTAGCTAACTTAAGTTGAGATCAGAAGAGAAGAAGCAAAGTTAGAGCTAGTAGAAGAGTTAGAAATACTTCTGTTTTGCTTTTAATGTTGTTAATTGTCTTAATTGCCTTGTTTGTCTTATCTGCCTAATTGTCCTTGTTTGACCTTACTTGTCATTGTCTGTCTTACTTGCTTGTTTGTCGTCGCCTTTAATAATAAGATGAAAATATTTAAAACGTAGATTTCAAGGAGTCGAATCTCGAGAGCTATTCCGAGTGACTTCAACTACTTTTCATCTGCACGTTTTCCTCACTTCATTAGTTATCAGGTGGGGGTTCTATACTATGGTTTATTCTCATGTTTAACATGTGATAGTATAGTTTTTATATGCATGTGACTGTGGGCCGGCGGGCCGAATGTGCTTTATGAGAAGCTGGTAATTATCAGTAAGCAGTTAAGTTTTCTACTAGCGGGATCGGTTGATGCCAAATGCACTAGTAGAGTTACTTATTAGCGGGATCGGCGGCAGCTGAATGCACTAGTAAGTGACCATACCAACATTAATGAACTTAGGTTAACGGTGTATAATATAGTCAATAAGCTGGGTAAATTATGGAGGCTTGAAATAAGAGTCACTAGTCCGAACTTACCTGGAGGCTTGAAGCCGGATGTAATCAGTCAGCAGTGACACTAAGCTTTGCATGTTCATATATTTGTTATCCTATCTGTGTTTATATTGAATCGATGCATATTATGGTTCCTTCACGGGGCAAGTGGAATGCTCACCCTTTTTGTTTCCACACTTTAGGTTGATCTAGTTGGTGCCGGACGCAATGGCGAGGGTGGTCGTTTATGTATGATCTTAAGTTATTTACAAACTTTGGGACAAGTTATATGTTTTTATATTTCCGCTAAATGTTTATGAAAACCTTTATAAGACGAATGTCTTAGACACTGTTATATTTTCGAAATTGTTTAAATATGATGGAAATTTAATTATGCTTTGTTTGTTTGAAAGGAATAAGCTTTCGAGTAATGCCCGAATAATAGTTTTTAGAAAATGTTCTCCAAATAGGTTCAAATTATTTCTGAAAAATCTTGTTCTTTCTTAAATAAATAACCAGGGCGTTACAGTCTTCGTCCGGAGCTTCTCACCGACTGACCAAATCATCAGCCAAATGAAGAAAAACACCCTAAATTCATTCGACTCATCCAAAAGTTCATGTGGATTTTATTTAATTGATTCAGGATTAGGACATAGAAATCATACCCAAAAGTAATGAAGGAAGTAAAAGATCACTGAGGAAAAAAAAAGACGAAAAGTTGCAATGGAAAAGCTTTTGGAATTCGGTAGGAAAGCGATGTTCTATGTTAGGGTTCTTTCGGGATATGAAGAGCGCAAAATCAGATCTTACAGACTGCAGCTCCAACAACGCCTTCAACAGGTAAATCTCTCTCTCTCTCTCTCTCTCTCTCTCTCTGTGTGTGTGTATGTGTATATGTGTGTGTGTGTGTGTGTGCGTGTGTGTCTGAATTTTACTCGTCTATTTATTTATGTTTCATTTCGGCCACTAGAAGGGAATTCATTAGTACTGTGTGAAAATAATTTAATGTTTTCGTTTTCATTTTTACCGATTGAGAAGTGTTGTAAGAACTAGAAGATGTCTATGCTTGATTGTTGCATTTATTCTAGTTTGTCTCCATTGCAGAACAAATTTTGTTATATTTTATTTCATTTTTCTTTTCCAAGCTATGGCTTCGCAAGTTGCTGAATATATAAACAGCCTCATGTTAATCATGTCTAATGTGCTTTTCATGAATGCTTTTGTTATTAAAGGCGCTAACCTGAGCTCTTAACTTAACTTACACAAGTTTGAAATATTTTAGAATTGTAAATGAATTCAGACAAAGGAGATGAGTATAAGGCCTTTTCTTGAACTTCTCTCGTGCAAAGAGTAACATATCCCATCTATGTTACTAATTTCCCAGGCTCAAGAGAGGAAAGAAGCTCTTAAGAAGGTTCCTGAACAAATTATTTTATCAGAGGTGCGGAAAATGGTGGAGGATATGCAGTCTTTGAATAAGAAGTTGGAAGAAACAGTAAGCAAAATATTGTTGTGCAGCTTGTATATGTTTCTTATTGGTTTGTGGTTCGTTAAATGAGTTGGTTAATAATAACAACATATTCTTGGCATAGTTTAAGTAAATGCCTAATTTGATACTTCAGGTTTAGCTGTTCATTCAAATTTCACAATTTAAAGTCTAAACATGCGACATGTGATATATTGATTGGCTGAATGTAAAGTTTGATCGTCATACTTTATTATGTTGAGCAAACAAAATATTGGTAGATATCTAAACTAAATGTCATGCTAGTCCAAAGATGTGGCATGTGCTAATTTTCATTGTTCTTTTATTTATTTTTTTCCTTTCTATTCATTCCCTTTCATCTTCTTCGGTAAAAAAAGCTTGGCAAACGGAGCTTTTCAGGTCCTCACTTGCACATAGCCATGGTGCTAATTATACTTGTTTGTTTTCAAATCTTATTTCTTTTTTGTTCCCCTTGTTGGGTGTTTGGGACATTTGAATATTTTCTTTTTCATTTCTCTGAACATTAGTTTGCTGGCCTAACAGGAAGCAGCCATTGAGGAACACTTTAAGCCGATAGACAAGGAAGCTGAGATTATTATGAAAACACAGCTCGAAGGTGAGGAGAAATCTATGAGAGAGATGGTAATGGCCATGCAGAGACAAGCTCTACTCGAGCAAGCTGAAGCCGAAAGAAGTGCGAATTCGCGAAATTCTAACAAGACAGATCAAAGTATTCAACAACCAACTGGCGTGGAAAAGAAAACTGAGATGGCTTAATCATGTCCGCCTCCCCAGTTCTTTTAGTGTATCACAATAAGGTTTTATACTGGATAATTTTAAGTGTCTTGAAATTTTAATTTCTGGACAATGCAGTATGTTGAAGCATGGAGAGCTTGTCAAATAATGACTTCTGTGGCAAGATTGTGCTCAAGTGGCCCCTGTGTGTTAGTTTTCAGTTTTCACCAGTTTTGTTTAAGCTTATTTGTTTTTTAGGGATGTTTAAGAAAGTTGCCAAAGGAAGTTCCTCAAGTGTTTCTGTAAGAACTAACAATTACTCAATAAGTGTTTTAAGATTATACAACCTTAACTGATTCCAGGCAGTTACTTATTTTTCATAACTGTAACATTGTTCATCATTATAGAAAAATACAAAATATGCACTTGATTGAGGCTACAAGGAAGCAGAATTCTTCTTGGCTATGGGCTAGTTGGCTGTTTGTGCTGAAGGTGTGTGGGAATTGGATGAGAGTAGAAATCAGAACTGGCAAGGAGATTAGAATTTGGGACCAACATTGGATTCCAGATAAGATTGGCAGGGACGTGGAGCTTCTACCAGTGATGAATAGAGATATTAAATGGGTTTGTGATCTGATGGCAGGGGTTTGGATGTAAACAAACTTAGATCCACCTTTACTTCTGAATTCTGCAACTCTATATTGAGCATATGATTCTCTTAATCCTAATTCAGAGGACATTTGGGTATGAGAATTGCACAGAAAAGGGTTGTTTACAGTCCAATCCACATACTCCAAACTCATTACAGAGAAGTTTCTTAAACAAGTCACTGCTCAATCTAGTAGGGACATGGATGCAGATATGAAGGTAAGAGCAAGAACATGGAGACTCAAGGTAATGGGAAAGGTCAAGCACTTCGTTTGGAAGTGCTGTAACGGAACCTTACCAGTGAATATAAATCTGAGAGCTAAAGGGATTGGGGTGGATCATATTTGCAGGATGTGTGGAGAGGAGAGTGAATCTGTTGAGCATATTCTTTTTCATTGCAGGTTTGCAGCAACTGTGTGGAAACTGGCTCCACTTGATTGGATTGGGCCTCAAGGCACAGAATCCTTTAAATCCTAGTGGTGGCAAATTTGTAAACTTGACAAGAGTGAGACTTCTGAAGCCCGTATTCAACTATCGACTTATATTTTGTGGTGACTTTGGAAGTCTCGCAACCTTTGGGTGTTTGAAGAAGTTCGAAGACCTGCACACATTGTGGTTAGAGCAGCAATCCTTGATTGGGAGGCTTTTCTCAACAACAATAGGTGTTAGGTCTCTTGTTTTGTTGCTTTGATTTGTATTTGTATTGGTAGGGTATTTGGCTCTTGTAATAGTGTAGGCTGTTTTCATGCTTTGTGGTTAGTTGGTCTGTTGTTGGGTTGAAGAATAAAGGTTCGGTTGAGGGTAACCGCTTTACTCTTTGTTAGTGTTTTACTAGTTTGACAGTGTGGGCTCGGTGTGGTGCTCTCATGTCTCGGCTTTCGAGGTTATATGGACATCGTTTTTTTGTGCTATGAGAATCTTCTATCGTTTGGAAAAAAATAAAAATAAAAATTAATAAAGTCAATTACAACTATCGCCAGAAGTATCCATTCGCTTTTCGAGAATTAGACCCGAAAAACAAGAAAACATAGAGATTCAACAATAACTGTGCTCTTAATTGATTCTATCATTCCCAAGAAATAAATAAACTCGAAGGCAATTTAGAAAAAAGCTGTAATGGATTTTATTGCATCACAAAACTCTCATCTTCCCACGTAGACTATGATCCTCTAGCTTTTACACAAAAACATGATACTCAAACCTCATAACAGGAACACAAGAACTTCAACAGCAGCTAGACCATTAATTATGCAACACATTTTACTCAATAATCTAAAAAAAAAAAAAAAAAAAACCCTTTTCTTTCAACTCATGCCTGGCTCTTTTGGCTGGTAAAGAGTTTCCAGGCACTCTTTAGCTCTATGAACCTTCGACTGGAGATAAAAACTCCCATTTTTTGCATTCCATTCAAACAAGTTATCATACCTTTGCAGGAAAAAAAAACATGACAAAGTTCAAGGGGGAATTTTCATATCTCCTACGTGATTTATAAATATTTACAACTGTCTTTCAAATATAATTAATTATGTCTTTACTTAAAAGACCACATTTAACTACATTAATGCCTAAAGGAGTTACCATATCCATTACAACCTCAATCCCTTGATTTCTGTTGTAAAAGACCATATAAGGCAGTTACTATATCCATTTCAATCCCTTTGTGATGTAGAACGTGAATAAGAATGGGAATAAACGAGATACTCTCTCGTACGGAACTCACACTACCTGATAAAACCCAAATTCATTCATCGTGCCTCCTTCTGTTCAGAAGTTACCAATATAAAGCCTAAGACCCCAAAAACTCCTAACTTCCTAGACAAGATAAATCCCATAAATAATTAATCTCCTAAATAACTTAAAATAAAGAAACATAATAATAATAATAAGAATAAAAGCCATAAGATAATTAATTAAGCTTTGGCGTCCAGTCGTACTTGTCCAGAAAAGCCATCGCGAGCTCGTCTCCATCATCCTCCCCCAGTTGAGAAAGATTCGCCCTCGAATCGGGACCGAGCTCGTCTCCGTCGGAGTCATCGACACGCCAAGGAGCAAACTGTGCCTCATGGAAGACGTCCGACAAATGCACATGAGACGGCAAGCTAAAGCGGTAGACATCAGGCAGGATCCGAGCGATAACCGCGTAAGGGCCGACACGTCCGTCCGGCGAAGAGACAACCCACACAAAGTCGCCCACATCAAACACCATCGAACGAATGTCCAATGAACGTCGAAGAGACAACCCACACAAAGTCGCCCACATCAAACACCATTGAACGAATGTCCAATGAACCGCACACTTCGTCCCATTCCCCGCCATGGACAAGAAATAAGACCGACGATGGGGATACTGCCAACGAATGGGGAGCTGCAGGATGCAAAATCAAACGGACACCGTCAAATGTAAACTCATACGTGTTAAGGCGCCCATCATGCACCACGGCTCGATCAAACTGCCAAGGACACCCCAACAAAAGGTGCCACGCATCCATAGGCACAATGTCACACAACACCGCATTTTTATACCAAGAGTCGATAGAAAAAGAGACCAATACACGACGGGTAACAGAGACCTCGTAGTCACGCCGTATCCAAGCGAGAGTGTATGGATCCGGATGTGGCTCACTCACCAACTCCAGTTTTCGAACTGCTTCAACCGAGATCACGTTCTCGCAAGAGCCGGAATCAATCACAAAACGGCACACCCGGCCGCCAATGGTGCACGTAGACTCAAAAAGGTGTCGCCGTCGAGTCTCATCGTCGGAAGAAATGTGGGGGGATAACAGGGATCGATGAAGGACAGGTGCGTGACCCACGTCCCCCAAGGCATGCAACACCGGATCCTCTGGCTCCTTGGCCATCATACTCGCTAGATTCCATCTCCTCAACAATTAAAGCCTGCGACCCATTTGTCTTCGGACATTGGGCCTGCCGGTGACCTGGTTCGCCACAGGAAAAGCAACGCGGCCCGCCAGAATGTCGACCGCTGCCCCTAACCGTGGGACAAACGGACACTGCTCCAATACCCGGTTGACTCTTCGACCCAATTGGCGTCGTAACCACTGTCCCCGGAATTTCCTTAGTAGACAGCGTAGACAAAGCACCCGCCTTTCGTGCATGTTGTTGTTCGAGCATCAGTGATCGCTGGTGCGCTTCAGAAACCGAATCTGGAGCTATCATATTAAGCATATCTTGGAATGCTACCCGTAAACCGCCCACATACCTTGAAACCAATTGGTCCGACGTCTCACGAATCTCCACACGAGTTAAGAGACGGTAAAATTCTTCCGTGTAATCATCCACGGAACGAGCTCCTTGTCTCAAATTTTAGAATTGTTGACAAATGGAACGAGCATAACTAAAAGGTAAAAATTCACTTTCTAAGTGCTTACAGAATTTAATCCACGTGGAGATTTTTGGTTTGCCAAGACGATGCCGCATTCCTTTGAGTTGTAACCACCAAGCGGCCGCACGGCCACGAAGCCTCGTCACGACAAGAGCAACTCACTGATCATCGGGGACTCCTTTAAACTCGAGCACAGAGTCAACGACGGCCCACCAATCCAAAAATTCCGCAGCATCAAGAACGCCTAAAAATTCGGGAATATCGACTCGAAAACCTTGCACCCAACGCGACTGGCCGCCACTATCCAACGCGGGACCCAAAGCTCGCCGCTGCTGCTTCTCACTGGTGAAGTCCCGACCATCATGCCAGCCCCAGTCCTGCCGAAACTGCTCACCCTCAGTGACTTCTGGCCCTCCGCGATGCTTTCGTCTGTCCCCCACAGCGTAGCCAAAACCCGCACGCCGAAACCCTCCGTCCTTGCCCTAATGGTCGCCGCCGATGAAGCCAAATCCTTCCGATCGTGAGCCCCGTCCCATCGCAGATAGACATCCTCGTGAGGGTCGGCCCGCCTGTGATGACAAACCCCAGGCCGCTGCATCTGGTCGTCGTCCGCCATGAAGGGTTCCCCACGCCGCTGGCCCTGCCCACCGTGCGCGTCGAACTCTTCGGCGCCTCTTTAAAATTGCCCTTCGTCGAAAGGATTGACCATAGATATGGTCTCTTCGTCGTCCTCATAGTCGCCGGGCGGGGGCTGAGGTGAATGCCAGCGGGGCGCCCCACAAAAGCCACGTCTACCACGACCACCGCGAAACCCTCCGCGCGTGCCCTGGTCGCCGGCATCGCGATTCGTACGCACGTCTTCCATCATGGTTCTCATTGCCGGTAGAATCTCCTCGACCCCCGTGGAAAGTTCCGTGAATCGATCTTCCATCCCTTGAATCCGATCGTCCATCCGTTGGAATCGGTCGTCGATGTTTGGATCGTTTGTAGCGTTTCCTTTCTTTGGCGGCATCGCGGATCGTGTTGGTCTCTGGATGCCAACTGATGTCGAACGTGAATAAGAACGGGAATAAACGAGATACTCTCTCGTACAGAACTCACACTATCTGATAAAACCCAAATTCGTTCATTGTGCCTGCTTCTGTTCAGAAGATAACAATATAAAGCCTAAGACCCCAAAAACTCCTAACTTCCTAGACAAGATAAATCCCATAAATAATTAATCTCCTAAATAACT